GGTGCTCGCGCAGGCGGTTCGCGCAAAGACCAGGGCCACCGCCGCCCTCGCAGCCGCGGAGGGCCTGGGCTCGGCGCCTCTTGCAGCAGCCGCCGCGGAGCCGCTCGAGTCGCCAAAGCTCGCGCTGAAGTGGGACACCACCATCTTCGAGGGCTTGGACACCTTGGAGTGCGAGGTGGCCGAGAGGGACGACCTGCGCAAGCTCCAAAATGACCTCGCCACCGCCCAGCACCTTCTCACCGCGAAAGACGCGGAGGCCACAGCGGTCCTGGAGAAGGCGGCGGCCATGCGCGAGGCCCTCTGCAGCCGCCTGGCCAAGAAACGCAGAGTGGCCGAGGCCGACGCGGCGGTCGCCAGCGCGCGGGAGGCTTCAGAGCCTGCCGCCTCAGCGGCGCCCCGCGCCACCGCCGCCGCCGTGCCCGCCGCTGCAGCCGGCGGCCAGCCCGCGGACCACGCCCAGCAACCCGTCGACACGGAGGGCGACGAGGCACTGCGCGCGGCCGCGGAGAGCCCGATGGGAGCCAAGCGTCCGGCGGAGGAGCGGAAGTTGGAGGGGCAGAAGCAGAGCGCGCAGCAGTCTTTACGGCGGGGGCAAGGACGCCGCCAACCCCAAGCTAGCCAAGGGCAAGACTGGGTGAGCAGGCGAAATGATCAGGTCCCGCGGGAACCAACTGCAGTGAAGAGCCGGCGCCCGTTGACGGCATGGGGTGTGACTCGCAGCAGCTACAGACAGGGGATTGGAGAATTCCCGAGGAGGTGCCAACTAGAATCTTTTTATCTCGCCAATGTGACCTGCATTGGAGACAAGGCGTAGACATTTCTTTCTACTTGCAAGCATGACTTCCTGGGCGTCGTTGAATCTCGCGTTGGTGACAGCGAGGTTTGCCGATGGGATGTGAAGTCCACCAGGTGGGCAAAGCTTGGTTTGCGCGCTAATTCGGCCCGAGTGCGAGGTCGCAAGGTGGCCAAGTCGCAGAAGGCTCACTCGCATGAAGGTGGGGGGTGGCTCTTGGCGAGAGGCCATCTTCAGATCCAGTCTTTATTTAGCGCGGCGTCGCGACGCCCTCTAGCTGCGCCAGGCCGTGCTCAGCTGGACGGCTTCATGGCGGCTGTTCTACACCTACGAGGCTATTCGATAGTAACCATTGTGTTCTACGCGTGCCCGAGCATCGGCTTCGGCAGACCCAACCTGGGGCGATCTCAGCGGTTGGGATCTCTTTTCAATGCGATGCGTCGTCCTTGGTTCGTCGTGGGCGGTTTCAGCGTGCCTGCAGAAGTACCGTTCAAATTTACATTGTTCCCGAAGCTGTGTGGGGGACCGACAATCATGCGAGCTCCCATAGAGGCCGCGTGCAATCTTGGGCACCGCGACCAGTCTCATATGGATGTTGTTCTATGTTCGGAAGCAGCGACTTCTTGCATCGTGGACGTTCGTTCCGCAGTCCGAGTTCCCTTGGGGCCTCGCATTGGATTGGTCTTCCGACTAAGGCAGGACGCCGAGCAGCTGGTGGCGCGCCTCCCGGCGGCGCCGAGAGGGCCGCCGCAGCTCGCCGGGCCGCGGGCGGCGCCGGCGGCGGGCCCCAAGTCAGCCCGAGCGCGCGAGCAGGTGGCAGAAGGGCGGCAGCATATAGCGGAGTCCAGAAATATTCAATACGAGGCAATGTTTGGCGATCTCTTTCAGTGAGAACAGTCGAGCCCTGAGCAGTTCAGCGATGAGTCCGAGCCTGAACGAGTTTTCCTTTCTATTCCCGAGCAGCCCCTGGACGATTTCGGAGACTTGGATCCAGGGATGTCCTGGAAGTGTCCGTGGATCCGTGGGCCGATGAAACGTGCTTCACCCCCAGAAGATCCCATGTGGAGGCGCTTTTTGACGTTTCGGATGCCATTTCGGGCGACTCTCCAGCCGCGGCGCCGAGCTCTGATTCTCAGCCCCCAGCGCCCGATGAATCGCGCGCCCCACCCAAACTTTAAAGGCAGCGGTGATCGCGCCCCCGCTCCTTCCCCAGCCCCCCCCGCCCCCCCGCTGTCTCTCCTCCCCCCCCCATCGGAGCGGGGTGGCCTTTGCCGCCCCTGATGATTTGTGGCAGAGCTGTCGCGAGGAAGTGGGTTTCGTGCCCGCGCGAGCGCGCTGTCGGTCTGAAGCCTCGTCGATCAATGGCGCGCCCGCCTTACTTGCGACATCTTCGTTACATGCTTCATGGGTCTCGGCTGCGGAGCCCGCTTTCCATGGCCGCCGCGAGGCCTAGAGAGCTGCGGGCCCATCGCGGGCTCAGGCGGCTGAGTTCTACGAGGGCGCCGCTCGCGTGCAGGGGCGGCAGCGAGCAACTCCAGAGCGAGACATCGTCGCGAGCTGGCGGCACCCTCCATCGGCAGTTATTGCAGGCCCCCCTCGTCGCGCGGAATGGCGCCCAGGCCGCAGGCAGCGCGGGCAGTTTCTAACGGCACTTGCCAGTCACGTGGATGCGCGACCTGAGAAGGCAAGCGCTGTCAGTCGTTATTCGCGAGATCAGCCTCGGAGGTGTCGGCAGCCCGTGTTCGAGGAGTTGCGAGAGTTACCCGTGGCGTCGGAGGAGGCGACGCTAGCTGCCAAGGCCTATGCCAAGTCCGAGTCCGCCACCCCATGGAGCCGCGAATGATGCCCTCTCACTGACTTGGAAGTCCGCCCCACGGTGTTTGCCTGGGCGCCCCTGCGGATCGCGGGCAGATGCCGGGCGAGAGCAGTCATAATGGCAATGAGAGAATTGAGGGAGTGGATGGAGAAACCGGTTGCGCTGGGTGCGCAACATAAGAATCTTCGGCGGGAATCTCTCGTTCGCCCTGTGCTGGAGACACCCCCTGAGGACATTCTGTATTATCCACGTGGCATTGTTGACGAGAAATCCGCCAGATGGAGGAACTTGGGCCCCGTCTCAGGGCGCTGCCGCTCAGACGCAGGCGGTTTTTTCTGGCGGGCTCGGGGCCGAGCTGAGACCGAGCCCCCCCCAGAGATCAGCGCGCGACATCCGGACAGCGGCGAGGCGCGTGAATGCTGGCGCGGGACTCGGCATCGATCGGATGAGCCCCGTGGACCAGAACGCCCCCTTCTGGGACGCAGCGGCGCGAGGCAACGCGGCTCTCCGCGAAGTTGCTGCTCGCGCGCTCCAGGAGGAGGTCGGGCACAAGTTGCAGATGTCATCCGCCACCTGGCCTCCTGAACATCGACAGCTTATTGTGATGGCATTCGATGGGGGTATTTGGTTCCAGCTGGCATGAAGCTGTGGCTTCCAGCGTGTATTCTATGCCTCGAGGTGGCTCAGTGTCCGGCTCCGCGCTTGCTTGGTCAGAGTGAGTCGTGGGCAGTTCCCATAGGGCCGACCCAGTCAGTGGTGCAAGGATTGAGGTCAGGCGCACGTTTCGGCATAATCATGGCATAGTAGAGTATACATCGCCTGCGTGTGGCATACGCAGATGGGCGACAGGATCCGGATCGACGACCTCTCACTTCGGGCAATCGGGTCTCGCTCCAGTGTTCGACGGCAGTCGGTTGACAGCATCAAAACCACCTGCCCGGTCATAGCGACGAGGAAGTTGCAGGTTGCGAGCAAGAGCGCCATCATGTGCACTCACCACCCCGACGCAGCACGAGTGGCCAGACCATTACGGATTGCAGGATATACCGTCAAGGCTCAGCGGTCCGCTGGGAACCTCGGAATGGATCTTGGGCGCGGAGGTCGGCACGTGCGTGGCGCCCGCAGAAATCGCTGTCAGGAGTGCGACGCCATGCGTCGCCAGGGTCGGAAGCTCGCAGCTGCAGGCAGGCGCTACAGCGCGACGTCCAAGCTGGTACGCCTGGGCGTCCAGGCGGCTGGAGGCTATGGCGCCAGGAAAAGACCAGCTCGCTGGTCTTTCCTGGTGCTGCCCCAGAGGAACCCATCATGTGGCATGTCGGCGATGAGGCATGGGCGGGTTCAAGGATTTGGATGCGCCCAGCGATTTACTGCGGGATTCGGAGCCGTCTATTTCCATTTGACTCTGGAGCAACGCTGCTGCGCTTTTCTGTAGTGCGGGAATGGAAGACGGAGTTGATGTGACCCCCGCGCGACCTCTATACCATCGTTTGTTGGGCGCGCCGCGTGGCCCGCGCCTGGCAGTGCCGTTAGTGACCATGGCCACGGGGGCGCCCTGTCCATGGCCGAGGAGGGCAGCGTCCTGCAGAGCGCGGGGTGCCATGGTTTCTAAGCCGTGTCCCTGTTGCGGGGTAGCGGGCGAAGACATGTTACATAGGGCTTGTGGTTGTGCCTGCGCCGCTTCGGGCGTTCTGGCAGCAGCAGCTCACGCCCAAAAGCCCAAGCAGATGACTGTTCCAGGCTGCGAGGTCTGATTCCGAGTGTGTGGCTAGCGGTTTCGTCACCAGTCACCGGGGAAGCATGGGCGGCAGTTGGCGCGGCAGAGTCACGTAGTTCGTCCGATTCGTTCGGGTGTGGCAGTCCGAATAACCCCAGCTTAAGTTTGTGGCGACGCCAGTGGGTGAGCCGATTTAAGTAGCAATCGGTTTCGGACAGTGGGCTTTGCCATCGTCAAGATAGAGAACATTCAGCCGTTCCGTATGGGCCCACCCATATCGGGACCATTGTGTGGGCTGCGCCAGACGGTGTCTCGCGGGGATGTGCAGTGCACACACGGCAATGTTGTATACGTTACAGACAACAACGGGAATGCTGATGGATGGGCGGAGAGGCGTTTCGAATTTCCGTCAGGCCCACATGCATATTTATGGTGGCAGCCGGGAGAGATCTTCCAAGGGCGAGATGTTGCGGACCTGTCAGTTATGTTGATCAGCTCGCACCAAGACGAACATGAGTTGGCCCGCAGTTTTGCGCCGCCGTGGATGGCGCAGGGCAACACAGTCGCTGATATCCTATTTCGGGCTGCTGCCGACCGAGTCCGAGCCCCCGAGGTAGAGGGGCACGCATCCAGGGATGTGGAACGCAAGGCCTTTCTTGTGAGAGCACGTCGCCCTCATGCGATTGCAGACTCGCTGGGGTGCGAACGAGAGTTGGATGGTAGTGCCCCCGCCAGCTCCGGCAGCCGTGCGTTTTTCCACTACCTCTCACGTTTTAGCCGAGTGTGGTCGTAGATGATTGAAATGTTTTTGCTCCACTACCATTGCTGCTCGTGCAGTTTGGTCTAGTCGTCCGTGTTTCGAACCCCACAATACCGATGGGATATTTTTCTGACTTCCAGAAGGGACATCACTGCACACTGCGGGAGGGGAGGTGCATAACAGTCATCGGATGCGATTGCATAAGGGGTTCAAATTGTAGTGTTGCTGTCAGTGTGGAAGCTACGCTAGCCAATGCTTGCGGGGCTTCGGGCGCCCATGCCTAGAAGCCTCGAATCCCAAGTGAGCTGAACACGTCGCTAAAATAGCTGCACGGCGGTGGCCTTAGTCCCGCAGCAGAGTCGAGGTTAGCCGTCGGGGTTCGTCAGTCACCGAGCTCGCTGCGCGACCGTCGTCACTCACTCCCCCTTCTCCCCCATCCTCCTCGGCCTCGTCTTTCCAGAAGATGGTGCCCCGTCCTGCCAACCTCGACATGTCAAGAGGGGCCGTGCCCAGCCGAGGAGCAGGCGACCGAGATCGCCATGCCCAACAGCGCCCGCACCATGCCCAACAGCGCTCGAGACGGCGCTAGCTGGAACCAGTCCGACGAGTTCAGGATCGGGCGAAGAAAGTGTCCACCACGACCACCATGCCTCACAAATGCTCCACTTTCTGCTCCCGCCCAGGCCAGGCGGGAGCTTTCCGTCCAGATTTGGCGGGGTGAGGGCTTTCAGGCAGTGGCGTAGCGTCTTGGTTCGCCTTTAGCCCTACCAAACAATGTTCTAAGATCCTTTTGTGGTTTCCACGACATGTTCTTAGAACATTTCTGGATGATATTGTCTTGTTTTAACACATCGGGCTCACGTTCTAAGAACCTTGCTTTTGCTCTTAGAACAGGATTGGGTTCTAAGAACATGTCGTGGTGGGACTCCAGGAATGCCTGGACGGTCGGTCCCTGCTCCAGGTTAGGTTTGGTGGCGTGTGGGCGTTTTCTGTCTCCCGGCAGGAAGCTCCACAGTTGGCTGCGGGAGCCGCCCCGCGCCGCCCCGCCTCGGACACCGCGGGGGAACGGCCCTGTCGAGCTCAGTTGCGAGCCTCAGGTTTCGTCCTCTGCGCGCTGCTCCTGCTCCTCTCCCCGCTCCCCCCCCCCTCCCCTTTCACCACCCACCACACCACCCCAACCCAACCCGAAGGCCTCAATTTGCCCTCCATTTCCAGTGGGGGGGGGTCCGGGAACATCGACAAAACAGATATGGAGCCCATCCCCCCCCCCAACCCGAAATTCGGGTCTTCGGGTTGGGTTGGGGTGGTCTGGCAGGTAGTCACCCTTCGCCCTTCCGCGTGCTGCTGCTCTTGCCTCCGGTTCTGTCATCGTCGCCCTTCTAGGAGGGGCTCTCGGTTTCCAAGCCGTTCCTTAGATCTTGGTGGGCATATTTCTTCGTTACCGGTGGAGGCCGCGGCCAGAAATGGTCGTTCGTTCCTTTCTGTGCGTTCCTCTTGGTTTCACGATGGTTGTAGCTTTCCATCCGACTCCACATTCGCTTTTTCTTGGCGCGGTTCGTCGCTGCTCTTACCGCCCAGTCGCCCTGTAGGCTTCGCTCTTGCACCACGCCTGGTAAAGCTCACGGGTCATCGGCGATGCCACGTCCGCGAGCCGCCAGAGAGTTCAAGGTCGCCCGCATAGGTTCCGAGCAGTTGCGGTCGGAGAATCGCGTCGTATCGCCGATGCATCGGCGTTGGTGCGTCCACCAGCCCCCAGGGAGCTCTACGTAGGTTGCCCGCATGAGTTCCAATCTGATTCAGAAGGTAAATGGAGTATCAATGACACTCCCTCGTGGGGTGTCTGTCTATCAGCGTGTTACTGTTGGAGAGACACCAGTTCTTTGCAAAATTCACGAAGGAGTTACACGCTGACGGGTTCCAAAGGACGGCGTGTCGTTGATATTCTGGTTTCCTTCCGACATATGAGGTCGAAGAAGCGTGCCGCAGCGGCGGTGCATCGGCGGTGCAAAGCGACCAGGAACCCCACGTTGTTCATCCCGTCATCGCCGATGCATCGGTGATGCGGTCGGATCCTCCGTCCCCATCTGCTCCAGCTCAATTAAAAGGCTGGCGAATTGTCGGCCGACAGCGTGTCCGCCGACGTCTCCAAAGAGCGAAACCACGCAATAACAAAACACGTACTACTCCTTGGCTTTGCCTTTGTCTTCCTCCTCCAGATTTGCCCCTGTCCTCCTCTCCCTATTCCTTTCCATTCGCCTTTTCCTTACGCGCATCCCAGGCTATCCTATGGGCCATCAAGAGTTTCAGTACCCGTACGTGCTGGGATAGCGTTCACCGTCCAGCGTCGCGTTCGGAATCTCATTGCAAGTCGTCCAAGCTCTGGATCACCCGCCGTTTCACGCATTGGTCGGAATGTTTCCAAGGTGTGGGGAAGACACTGAGGTGTGGCACTCTATCTCAATTCCGGTTCGATGGTCGTATCTGCGGAGACGCACATGTTGATGAAACGAACGTGTCCGAGCACGTTTTCTTCATTATACGCGTTGGTACTCCACCCTTGTCCCTGACCCAGAGCGGATGTTGCCACATCCAGCTATTGAGCTTGATACTCTTTAGATGTGTCAGTAAATCACAGGCCGTGCATGTGCTCATGCCGCCAGTGTTGCGTGATGGGTCAGGTCTATTTGACCCCTAGCCCAGGGCATAGCGATGCGTGCCCAGGTGTTCATTACCGTGTGCCTGGCGCTGAGACTCTGGCTTTTCTTGCCTTCCTCCCTCACGCCTTGCTGTTCTGAAGTGCAATCCAAGTCGATCACAAAGTCCGCCAGTGGCTGCCAGAGGTTGCTGGATTCTTGGCACGCCCGGTCCTCTCACGTTGTCTCTGGTTGAGGCCTCCACTCGGGCATATGGGCTCGTATTCACGTGAAGACGGGCGCTGTTGGTTACGATAGTGCATATGGCCACAAGGTGAAGGCCCTGCTCAGCGCTCCATCCCCTGCCCAAGCGTCATAGTGAACCATGGGGAAAATCATCCTGACTGGTTCGCTATGGCTTGCCATCAATATCCGTGCTCGTTCCATCCAGTCGGTGGAGCGGCGACACAACGTTTGAGTACTTGGTGTATTTTAATGCTTTCAGGTTTGTAACGTCCTGTGCTATTTCGTGCCTTGCTGGGATCCCACGCACTGTCCAGTTCGATGTTGTGACGCCGCCAACGGGGGGTGGCATGGAATTAGTCTGCGCAGCTCTCGAGGTACATTGCTTGCGCGGCTTCCAGCCACTGCAAGCCAGAGCTGTAGAAAGCACCGTGCCCCCCCCCCGTGTTTCGTGATCGTCCGGATACTGGTCACTTGCAACATTTGTGCCGCATGCGCAGCGAGTTCTTCATTGACCACTGCAAGCTCAGCGGAGAAAAAACATGATCCCACTGGATCTGTGATGCTTGCGCTGATGGGGATAGACGGTCAACCCGCATAGTAAGCATAAGCAGCTTTCAAGGGTTACCCTCGCATCATTCCCACTCGTCTCATCCTTGGCCACTTTTGCTGGCCGCTCCCGCTCGCAGGATGTCGACATCCTTATCGTGCGTCCTTATCGTACGGGTTGACCGTATAAAGACCTGCGGGGCACATGGAGGCCTCTCCCAGTCGTTCGGGGGCCCCCGCCTCCGTCCCCTGATGCTCGGCTCTTCTGCGCCGCACGCCAGCAGGACAAAAGTCGGAAACTGGAGCATATACATTACCAGTGGCGGGCGGTTTTTCAATCCCAAGACTTTTTTGAGAGTCGGGGACGACGTCGGGGTGGTGTGGTGTATACTTTTTTTTTCCGGTTCACCGGGGAAACAACGGAAAATGTATACACCAGGATCCCGTATACACCATAATCCGCGTTCTTGTGCGAAGTTCAGCGCATGGTCGGGACAAGCGTCGGTGCACAGAGTTCGTTCCCCTAAAAAGCGTCACCATCACCCCTGACTTGTCATGCTCTGCGGGTTGTGCCACGCATCGCCTCGAGGTCTACGCGGTGCTCGGCCGGTCCATCCTGCAGCCTCCGCTTGCCCCCTGGTGCGGGGCCCGTCTGCGGGGAGAGCTGCTCGCGCGGAGCCCATATTCCACCACCACCACCATATGTAGGAGAGGGAGGAGGAGGGGGAGGAGGAGGAGGAGGAGGAGGAGGAGGAGGACCCCCTCCCCCTCCAACCTAAGGTGGTGGTGGTGGTGGAAAACAAGCCCATCAAAAATCACCCGGACCCGACAATTGGCGTTTACTAAACAGCTCTGGGCGTTTACTATATAGCCCTGCCTTGTTTGAGTCCTTCTTTGGGTGCGTTTACTGAACGTCTTCGCGTGTCTGGATGTCAATCATCGGGCTGGATGTTCTGCCCTCTATCCTTTGTGCCTGCGCCTCTATTCTTGGACCTGCCAGTTCAGGGGCAAGCCACCGTGCTGGACACGGCCCTGGACTGGTTCGTCGTGAGTGCTGGCCAACACAGCGCTCCGACGCTGCGTGCGTGCAGCTTCGGTGCGCGTTCCGGAGCTGCACGCCTGCAGCGCCGCGTCTGGTTCGCATGTAGCTGCTGCCTTTACCCTCTGGCGTTTGCCCATGCCCTCTGGCCAGGCGAATTCCGCCTACCATCAGCGTTGGCTGTTGCCTCGGGGATCCTGCGTGTCCGCATACAAGCTGCGGCCACAAAGCCGTGCTGGCCTGTACGAGCCACATTGGCCTGACTTGTCGCCGACGCCGATTAAAAATGCCCGACAACGCCCATCCCCCTCACACCCACTCGCCCTCACTCTCGCCAACGCTTGTTACAACCGCCAGCCCCACCAGCCCCTGACTACTTCAACGAGGACCATGTGGCTCTTGCGCGAGTTGCCGTCGCTTGCCTTTACAGCCCACTGACCTTCACACGACTATTCCCTGACTGAGCCGGCTGAGTACTTCTTGGGTCCACGCGCTGGGCATTTCCAACGGTTGCCGTGAAGCCGATCCGCCACGATTAGACTCGACCGCCCATGTGTCTCAAGGCGCCGGGAAAGCAATTTCGCCACGCCTAGCGGCCCCGACACGGCGTACCAGCAATGCAAGTCTGCCCGATTTTGGCGGATCGCACCAGGCTTCCGAGCCTTCGTTTGGCCGAGACCGTCGCCGATTGGCCCCGATTAGACACCTCTTCGTGCTTCGACTTGCTCCAATTTTGTCGATGGCTCCCGAGCCACAGTTTTCTCCCGCTCGCTTCCGTGGGCTTCCACCCGCGTTATGGTAAGTCAGTTGTGTCACATTGGCGTCGGCGCTTGGACCTGTTCGTGCACGTTAGGTCGCCGCAACGACACTCTGAAGATAATCTGAACTAGTCGTTTACCCTCACGGGTGTTCTTTGTTCTTACATTATCTTTCGTTGTGCTCCCATATGCGAAGGAGGAGAAACGCTGGACTGGATGCGTGATGGCTTGGGAGAGGGGAAGATGCCTGTCGCCGCCGCTGCTACCGCCCTCCGCGCCGTAAATGAACCTCGGAGATCGACCAGGGCGGGCAACTCGGACGTCCCTGTGGGATTGGAGCGGTTCCTGCAGGGAGCGAGGAGGAGAGAGGAGGAGGAGGAGGAGGAGCAAGAGGAGGAGGAAGGGAACTCCGACGGGGCTAGGACGAGGAAAAGTCCTTTCCAGAGCGTTCTGGAGCAGTCTCAAAGCGTTCCGGAGCGCTCTGAGAAGGCCGCGGCGCCCAAGACAACCTCAAGAACCGCCGGATCTCAGAGGTCCCCGATTGTATCCTCACCCGACTGTATCTTCGTCCTGGCTTCGTCCTGAAAGGAGGAGGCGGAGGAGGAGGAGGAGGAGGACCCGTGTAAACCTGAGAGTCATCAACGATGTTGGAATTAACCTCCCCTCCCCTCTTCATAGGACCCTACAACGGTTCATTTCCATTGAGGGAACTGCTTCGTTGGAAGACAACCGTTTGAAGACCCTAAAGCATGCCACAACATTGTTCTCGGGATTCCCACGCCACGGATCAACCTGTTTGCTGCGTCCTGACGGTCTGGAATCCTGCAAGGGCGCCATTCTTGGGAGCTCAACACCGCGAACCAACATAACTGTTGCACCCGCATAATCCTGAACCCTTCCGAAACACCATGTCTGGACGCTGATCATGGCAATCCGCGAGCCTGTTTTTGCAACTGTGTAAGATGAATGCGCGCGGCGCTCCGGCGAGAGCCACAGATTGAAAAGGCACCGCCCTCAGTCGGTGAAGCTCCTGCAGGTTTGTGAAACGGATGTGCGCGGCGCTAATTACCAGCCTCGAACTTATCCTTATCCCTAAGATTGACACGCCAAAAGGAGATGACAATCTTAGGGATTCGCCTTCACAAAATAAGGGGATCCCTAAGATTGGCATCGTGATGAGGAGACGCCCGGCATAGGGATAGGGATATTATCCAGGCTGGTAAGCTAAGACGAGAGCCTCTTTCTGGAATGGAGCCGCCCTCAATCCGTGACACTCTGGCAAGTTTTCAAAACGAATGCGCGGGGCGCTATGGCGAGGGCCACATCTTGTTGACGACCGCCCTCGGTCCGTGAAACTTCTGCAACTGTTTGAACGAATGTGCGCGGCGCTAATGCGAGAGCACATTTTGCAAACGACCCGCCCTCAATCCGTGGAAGCATTGCAATTTGTTGAGACGAATGTGCGCTGCGCTGATGCGATAGACACATGTTGAAATCAACTTGCCCTCAATTCGTGAAGCTCTTGTACTTTTTGAAACGAATGTGCGCGGCGCAGCGGCGAGAGCCACATTTAGAAACAATCCGCCCTGAATCCTTGAAGCTCTTGTAATTTTTTGAAGCGAATGTGCGCGGCGCTGCGGCGAGAGCCACATTTTGAAAACGACACCCTCTCCATCGATGATATTGTTGCAATTTTTCCCACATCCAAAATGGGGTTGTTGTTTTCTTTGGACTCCCCGCGCAGGAACACAGGAACAGAAACACCGCCTCCTTTTTCTCAATAACTCACCCACCACACACACCCTCACTCACACACGCACGCACTCACATCACCATCGCCACCACATCATCATTATTTGCACACGTTCCATCAGCGCTATTACTCCTTTACTCACACACACACTCACCACGTACCACCCACTCGCTCGCACACATCATCGTCAGCATCATTATTATCGTCTTCGCTCACTCAGTCAATGAGTCGATCCAGACCTCATGCACTCTTGTCCCTTCGCACACTCACTCGCTCAATGGGTCACAAACCATCACCATCATGAAACCATCAACCTTTTTCATCATCATTCACTACTTCATTACCAGCATCATTCAGTCAATCACTCACACCATCATCACCACCACCCTCATCATCATCATTCACATCGCCATCATCATCGTCATCTCAATACTCAGCATCATCACTCACTTCACAAGCATCAGCATCACCACTTGCACCATCATCACTCACATCATCAGTTTCACTCACACGCCCACGCATTCATGTTGAGGACGTATCAGGCGGGAGCCTCGTCTGTGAGTGAATTGCGAGGAAGTATCAGGCGGGAGCCCCCTCCCTATGAGGCCCGCAGCTCATATGAGCAATCCGAACGGGTCACCGGGGTCTTGCAATTGTCGTTCATTTTGGGCCCCTGGGGCTTGAATATGAAGGAAGTGTCAGGCGGGAGCCTCGCCTGTGAGTGAATTGCGAAGAAATCTGAGGTGGGAGCCCTCTCCCTATGGGGCCCGCAGCTCATATGAGTAATCCGAGCGGGTCGTCGGCCTCCTGCAACTGTCGTCCATTTTTGGGCCCCTGATGCCTGAGATGCAGGAAGTGTCAAGCGGGAGCCTCATCTACGAGTGAATTGCAAGGAAGTCTGAGGCGGGAGCCTCCTCCCTATAGGACCGCAGTTCACGTTCAAATCCGAGGCGGGTGATCTGTTTCCTTTTTGGGGCTCCACAAGCTTGAACATGGGGGAGGTATCAGGCGGGAGTCTCGTCTGTGAGTTAAACGCGAGGAAGTATTAGGCGGGAGATTCCTCCTGATGGGGCCCGGAGTTCACGTTCGAATCCGAGGCGGGTCATCGGAAGTTGTAATTGTCGTCATTTTTGGGACATTGTGGTTTGAATACGGGGAAGTATCAGGCGGGAACCTCGTTTGTGCATGACTTGCGAGGACGTCTCAGGTGAGAGCCCCCTCATTATGAGGCCTGCAGTTCACGTTCGAATATGATGCGGGTCGTCGGAAACCTGTAAATGTCGACACGTTCGGGCCCTTGAGGTTTGAAACTGGGGATAGAATGAGGCGGGAGCTTCGTCTCTGAGTGAGCTGCGAGGAAGTCTCAGGCGGGAGCCCCCTCCCTATGGTGCCCGCAGCTCAAATGAGAAATCCGAACGGGTCATCGGGAACTTGCAACTGTCGTCGCTCTCGGGTCTTGAGGCATGAATCTTTAGGAAGTATCAGGCGGGAGCATCGTTTGTGAGCGAATTGCGGGTAGCCTCGTCCGAGCTGGTCGTCGGCAAGTTTGTTACTGTCATGGGCCCGCGTGCCCGAATCATGCCGTGGCGACGCCAGGGCGGTTTGGGGGCTTCATGGAAGGCGTCTTGGGAGCCTCCTGGAAGTTTTTCCCGGGCCTCGGGATTTCGTGGTGTGCTTTTGGCCTTTGTTGGGAGCTTTCGGGGATTAGTGGGTTCTGTTGGGGGCTGCCCGGTGGGCTCTGGGGGCGTCTTGGTTGAGTATCCAAAGCAAGGGTCCCGCGAGCGCCGCTGGCATCGACATCTGCGCGTGCCCCTGGCCGCGCTGGGTTGCAGGTGTCGCACTGAGGGAGGCGAGGGCCTGTGGCCTCGTCATGTATGCGAGACTCTGGCCGCGTTCGGCTTCTGTGTGATCCAGCCAGCGTCGGCGAGAGCTCCTGGCCCCGTCAACTGCGTGAGTTTTTGGCAACGCAGGTTTTTTGATAAGATTTGCGTACGACGAGAGCCTCACCTCCACGCTGTCGCAGGGCCACACGCTGCGCAAGAGCGTCACCATCGACTGCGCGAGAGGCGAGGACGCTGGCCGCACGGGCACGTTGGACGACCAGCGGCGGCTGAATCTCTACGTCATGTTTTCCCGTGTTGCGTGCATGCGGAGCATGCCGATCCTGCGGCGGCCGCCGCGGGAGTTCCTGGAGCGAGGAACGCCGGCCGGCATCCTTGCGGAAGTCGTTCCTGGAGTTCGACATCAGACCGGAGGGCTCCAGGGCAGAGGCGGAGAAGCTCGCGGCAGAGCTGGGGTTCGTGCTGCCCCCCGCCTGAGCGCGGCGGCGCCCCGCTCGAAGCCCGCGGCGTTGCCACAACGGCCTGGTCTTGTGAGCCAGCGGCTCGCGGGGTAGTCCCGACGGCCGGGCCCGCGTGGTTGTCCCAACGGCTACAGCGCAATGCGGCTAGTAGAGATTTCGCCCGTACTGGCCGAGGCAGCGGCGGCGCCGAGCAAAATCGACATGCGGTCTCATGCCGTCGAAAGGGGTGGACGTGGCGGGGGGTGAAGTAAAGGCAAGGAGAGGACAACGTAGGGAGCGGGAGGGCTGCTTGCGCCAGGGCGATGTGGATAATGACGCAGATGAGACAGTAAGGGCGCCTCAACTCCGCGAGGACGACGATGAGGGTTATTTCCAGATTCACCGAGAGGGTTCTCACGCGGGGTCCTTCCGTCGGAGTCATTGACGCTTCAGAATCATAACGGGCGAGGACCTCTAAGGCGAAACGCCTGGCCCGCCCTAAAAACTGGCCTCGGGGTGCGACAGGGAGAAGTTGCTTATAAGGAACGGGAGCGATGACGATGGAGAAGGAGGAGGAGGAAACGGAAAAGGAGGAGGAAAAGGAGGAGGGAACGGAGGAGGATGAGGAAAGGGGGGAGAGGGGGCACTTCTCTGTGCCTTAGGGGCTCCTCCTCCTGTCCAGTATTCTCCAGATTGTTGTCCCCCATCGTGCACGCATTGGATGTAGGGCTTCGCGGTGGATCGAGCGTTGCGTTCCGTGCTTGTTTCCCTCGGATCGCGGCCATCACGACGCGACTGCTCACGCGAGCCAGCGAGTGCCCAACCCAAAACAGGCTGGGGAGGCTCTGACCCTCGACCCCCTCGAGGCTTGCGGGTGGTTGCCTTCCGGCGTGACTGGCCTTGGGCCTCCGAAGGCTTTCACAAACCCGGGAGGGGAAGGAGGAGGAGGAGGAGGAAGGGAAGGAGGATGAATGGGAGGAGAAGGAGGAGGAATGGGAGGAGAAGGAGGAGGAGGAGGAGGAGGAGGAGGAGGAGGAGGAGGAGGAGGGGGGAGGAGGAAGGAGGAGGAGGAGGAGGAGGAGGAGGAGGAGGAGGAGGAGGAGGAGGACGAGGAGGAGGAGGAGGAGGAGGAGGAGCAGGAGGAGGAGGAAGAGGAAGAGGAAGAGGAGGATGAGGAGGAGGAGGAGAAGGAGGAGGAGAGCGGCGTCGTTACGACACCTTCGCCATCTGCGTACCAGCGTATCAGGAGGAGGAGGAGGAGGAGGAGGAGGAGGAGGAGGAAGATGCCACCTGAGGGGAACCGACAAGAGAGGACCAGCGGCAGAATCACATCGACGAGAGGTATCCCGAGCTCGGCGAGGAGCGCGCTGGAGTTGCGGGTGCAGTGGCTTCAGTGAAACATGATGATATGATGATGGGGCCAAGGAGGGAGGAGGACGAGGATCTCTTCAGTATCCGAGTCTCCCTGCTTCTCCTCGTCCTCCTCCTCTTCCGTCTCCTACGGTTGATTCGTTGATAGTGGCATGAGGGTCATTCTGACGCTGCTTCCCCCCCGGGGGGCTATGGCCACTGATGGGGGGGGATGGTCAAATCACAATCGGTAGATAAACATAGATTTACAAAAAGACCGACGGACCCTCCAGGGGCAGGGTGACTAGGTCCCCGAGCACCCTGGGGTCGAAAGAGAGGAGAGAGAGGGAGGACAGGAGGCCTCCTCCTCCTCCTCATGGGTCCTGGTTCCTGGTGGCTACAGGGTTCGTCGAATGGCAGCATCCCTCCTCCTTCTTCTCCTCCTACTCCATTGGATTGCAACCTTGCCTGTTTTCTTTGCGCATGCCGACTTCCGCGACCGCCTCTCTCGCATCCCTCGGCGGCGTCGAGCGAGTCTCCTCAAAGCCCGCAGGGGACGCATCCAGCGCAAGGCGCGACACGATCATACCTGTGTGGTGGCAGGACGGAGCAGAGGGGCATTGCAAAGCCCCCCTTAACGATACGGGTACATGTGTTTCATTGTTTCTGAGTTGCCCCGAGAGTCCCCCCTCAGTCGAGAAAGTGGCACTCACGGCCCATCCAGAGAAGAAGCTATCTCGGGAAGCAGAGGCTCCGTCAATCCCTGCCGACGGCGCCATCCCGCTTCGCAGGCGCCAGAGTGCCACCCCCGAGCGCGCACGGCTGCGCAGCGCAAAACGTTGGCATGGGTATTTGCCCCGCGTCCGCGAGCCACTGGGCACCAAGCAACGTGCTCTGCACAGTGCAACGAGGAGCGGCTGCAACGCGCCCGCTAATCGAACAAGTGGCCAGTCGGCATGGTGTTCGTTTTTGTTTGTTCATTGTTTTGCCGATTGGCGCGGGCCCACGCATCCCCCCCCTCCCCCCCCCATGGAGGAGTAGATCTTGGCTGTTCTGGGCGCCCGCTTCGAGCCGGTGGATCCTCTTCCCCCCAGAGGCCGCACGGTTTCAAGCGGCCGCGTCAAGCAGAGGCCTGGGGCCAGACCCCCTTCCCCTCCCCTCCCCTTCCGCCCAATGTCAAAACGCCGTTGATATACATATATATATAAACAAAAGAAAGGCGCACTTTTCTTACCATGCGACCAGGGCGCCCCGCGGCTGAGGAGGGAGGGAGGAGGAGGGGGGAGGGGAGGCGCGCCGAATTACGAATTAGTCTGGCGGCCCAGGCCGGGCCTGTAGGCGCGCGCGCAGGATGGCGCGCCGGGCCCCTGCGCAGCAGCATGGCAGCCCGCGGGGGCAGCGCCGGCCCCCAACCCTGTCGCGGCCTCTCCGACAGCTGCGCCCACCGCGCACGTGGCCACGCGCGTACAGCGCACGGCTACGACCTGCGCAGACCCCCTCCCCCCACGGGGGAGCCTCCGAGCGCCGTGCCTCCGCGCTATTCCGCCTGGGCCTGCACGTGCGCAGGCCCGAGCACACATTGCGACGCGCTCCCCGGGCCTCCGGGGAGGAAAAGGCCACCCAGGCCGGACAGGTTTGACGTTTGCTAGGATCGACCAGACGTGAGAGTGACCTCCTCCTCCTGCTCCTCCTCCTCCTCCTGCTCCTCCTGCTTCTGCTCCTGCTCCTCCTGCTCCTCCTCCTGCTCCTCCTCCTGCTCCTCCTCCTGCTCCTCCTCCTAGGTTACGTTCGCTCCTGCTCCTCCTCCTCCTCCTCCTGCTCCTCCTGCTTCTCCTGTCGCTCCTCCTCCTCCTCCTCCTCCTCCTCCTCCTGCTCCTCCTGCTTCTCCTGTCGCTCCTCCTCCTCCTCCTCCTCCTCCTCCTCCTTCTCCTCCTTCTCCTCCTCCTCCGCCTCCTCCTCCTCCTCTTCCTTCTCCTCCTCCTCCTTCTCCTCCTCCTCCTCCCCCTCCCCGTCCTCTCCATTCTCGCAATTATCTCCGCGCGCGGACACGAACGCGCGCGCCGCCGCGGGCGGCTCGAGCACCTGCGCCGGAGTGGCCTTTGGTGCGGGCCCAATGGGGTCCCCCGACCGCCGAACGCGATGCGGCAGTGGCGTCTTGCGCGCTCGTGCTTGGCCTCCCCGCGGCCCCCCCAAGAAGCCGCGCACCAAAGGTCACGCTTACCCAGGTTCACTCTTGCGTGTAGCCGATAAAAACGGCCCTGGGCGTGGACGGACTAGACCTGCCCTGCTTGATTCTTTCTGTCGGTGCGTTTCCTAAACGGCTTCGCGTGCCGGGGTGGTTCTTGTCGGGGTGGATGTACTGCCCTCTATGGTCCCTGCCCACTCAGTCAGGGCGCTGGACGAGTCAGCCACGCGCTGGGGGGGGGGGGAGGAGGAGGAGGAGGGAAGGCTTCTTCGACGGAGGCTGCTTCTGAGAATGCGCGGGCCTTACCTATGAATGTAAGGCTGGCGCCTTCTGGGATGCAGCCTCCTGCCGAGAAGCATTCCCCCTCCCCCTGCCCGCTTTTGCGCGCCGCCGATACAGAAGTGGCTCGATGCTCCTTAGGTCCTTCCATGGCTGTTCCTCTAGCCCTCCTCGTGCACGTATGCTCTTTTGGGGCCTCTCCCAGTGGGGTCCTGTAGGAGGGCTGAGAGAGACAGCCATCCCTCAGATCTGGACGGCGCATCAAAGTCGCGACGGCCACTGTATCAATGTTCTCGGCCTCTGGCCCTAGGGAGGGGGTCACGATCCCCTTGGGGCCCGCGTCACAAAAAGATGCGTTGTTGGAGGAGCGGAGTCTGGACTGAAAGCCCGTGGCGAGACAGACCTCTGGGAGCTTCATCAAGGAGTCACGCCTGGCCTCCAGACTGTACCAACCTGACTTTGCTGAAACGTTACACGCGTGGATGTCCGATGCTTTTTTTCCATGGATGCACTCGCTCCGCTGGGGCCATGCAAGCCTCCCAGCGGAGCTGCGAGGAGTTCCACCGCCCCTGTTTGGGAGAGAGGACGAGAACACGAAAACCGAGCTCGAGCGACCGCAGGCGAAAGACTTCCGGAACCCGAGGAGAGCTCGCAGGAGGACGTCGTGGGTTTGCCACTGGTCTGCCTGGGAAGGTGGAGTTTTTTTTTTTTCCGAAGGGCTTAGGCGACCCGTCCTCCTCCTCCTCCTCCTCCTCCTCCTCCTCCCTCCTCCTCCTCCTCCTCCTCCTCCTCCTCCTCCTCCTCCTCCCTCCTCCTCCTCCTCCTCCTCCTCCTCCTCCTCCTCCTCCTCCTCCTTCTCCTCCTCCTCCTCCTCCGCCTCCTCCTCCTCCTCCATCTTCTCCTCCCCCCCTCCTCCACTTCCTCCTCCTCCTCCTCCTCTTCCTCCTCCTCCTCCTCCTCCTCCTCCTCCTCCTCCTCCTCCTTCTCCTCGGGTCGCATACGGACCCGGGGGAAATCGTGCATGGGGAAGGAGGCAGCCAGCACCCCTCGGACAGGGGATCCCACGATGGCCGCCCCGGGGACCCAGCGCCCTCCCCCCCACAACCCTTACGTCGGGCACGCCCCTCTACAGGAGCAATATTCTTAAGTAGTTTAGAAAACAGTCTGGGGACGATCTTATGAGCATGCTCGAACTATTTTTTAGTATCTGTGAACTGTTTTTTTTTTTTTTTTTAAAAAAAAAAAAAAAAAAAAAAAAAAAAAAAAAAAAAAAAAAAAAAAAAAAAAAAAAAAAAAAAAAAAAAAATGTCCTCCAAAATCCCCCTGTAGGAGGACACGCCCTACCTAATTCTAGCCCGCTTGCCAGGACGCGCCCCCCCCACAACGGTGCACATGCGCGCGAGTGTCGGTGCTGGTGCTCCCGCATCGGGTGTTGCCAGAGGTGTCCATCGCCCAAGGTGTCCCCAGGATTTCCATGGGGCCCCCCCTGGCCTCCAGAGCACCCCCCACGAGGCCAAGAGGACCCATGGGGCTCCCAAGCGGAGGGGGAAGCTGGCAACACATTGGGCCAGGGATACCTTCGGCACTCCCCCGATCGCGCTGGGGAAGGCCCTGTAGGCGTTTGTGTACCGGCCTTAGTTCTGGGGCAAACAAAGACTGCACGTTGCGTGGCTGTTTCTGAAGGCAGGTTTGCTTAACCGCCAGGCTATCTAGCTTTCACCGTCCCTGCTCCAGGATTGGTTGTGCGGCAGGTTGTCCAGACACCACATGCGCTGGGAGGATGACATCCCCCCTCAGCCCAGATCCGGTAGTCCGTGCGTTTTGTTTGAGCCAGCACAGCCAACAGAGGTGGAAGGAGAAAGTCAGAGGGGACATTACGGCGGAGTGAGTGGGAGGGGGATGGCAAGGAGAGGTGAGGGGAAGAGGATGGGGGCTGTGGAGGAGAGCGTCTGATATGGAGGCGGTGGGAAGAAGCGACCTTGAACATGTGTGCCAGCCAATATCGAACGATCAGCGTTGCCGCGGCACTCACAATCCCTTCAGGAGCTCGACAGTTTGATGAAACCCGGCCAGAAGACGAGCGTCCAGAAGCGCGAAGGCCACCTTGCTCACCCCCACGCCGCCAGTGTCGGGCCGGACGAAAGGGGGGGATTGGGAAAGGGGGGGTTACGAAATCTGCTGCATGCAGCTGGTTTCGGCCCCACCGAGGGGCCCATTCCTCGATACATAGCCGCCTCCGGCGCCGGGAGGCGCCGGGAAAATCAGCTACATGAGCTGATTCTCAAACCCCCTTTGCTATCCCCCCCTTTCGCCCGACCCGACAGTGCTCGCATCTGAATGTGTCGGATCTGTTTGGGCTCTCTAGTTTCTGCCATTATCAAGGGGCACGCAGACGGGTGAACAGGCTGCATATAGGACAAGAACAGAGCAGCTTGTGCTCTGTGCTGGTGCCATGCTGCAGGAGAACAAACAGGGCAGGAACAGAGGATGGCAACGATGCCCAGATCGAGCAGTGTTCACACGTGCCAGAGCTTGCAAGCGACAGAGGATAATCCCTGTAGCGAGGGATGGTATTGCCAGCAATAGAGCATCCCACGCATGTTGGCAGGGGTGAGCAGGGATTCTACGCATGTTGGCTTCATTCTATGTTAAGTTGCAGGATTCTACATGCTTCGTATTCAACACAATGCAGAGTTTCTTAGGGATGGAGCTTGGCAGCGGCGTTCCACAGACGTCCCGCCTGAGATTATAGGATTATAGGTGGGGGGCCTTATGGAGAGGCGAAGTGCGCTGGGGTGAGGTACATGTGGTGCAGTAGGCCAGCAGGTTTTAGATGAGGGGTTCCTTTGGTGTGGCGATGTTCGCGAGGGTGTGCCATTATGGATGCGGATCCCAGTGGGCGGACGCCCAGCGTGAGGTCTCATGTTGGGGCCCCTCTGGTGTGGAGAGGCATGCGAGGGGCATGCCTTTTCAGCTGCAGACTCCAATCTGCGGACTGTCTGATGCATGCGCGTAATGCTGGGTTTTTACGGGGTTGCGGCGACCCGGGGCAAACAGGGCCCCAAGAGGCTGCAGGGAGGCCCCAGGAGGCCGCAGCGATGGCTCCAGACGCCTTTCCAGACGACTCCCATGACGCCAAGAGGGCCCCCGAAGACGCCCCGAGAGGCACCCCGAGAAAGGCCCAATACGCACAAATCGTACATTTCCTATGGGAAGCTGATATTTTTGGCGTGTTTGCCTCTTGGGTTTCCACTGCGCCCAAGACGGCCCCAGAGGCCCCCAAGACTGCCCCACAGGCTCCCAAGAGGGCTCCAAGACGACCCCAAGAGGGTCCCAAGACGGCCCGAGAGGCCCCCAAGACAGCCCAAGAGAGCCCCAGGACGAGCCCCAGAGGGGTCCCAGAGGTGCACAACCATATTCGAATTCCGAGCCTTCGGCCCGAGAGGCTCCCAGGAGGCCCCAGGAGGCCCCAGGAGGCCCCAAGAGGCCCCTTAGAGGCTCCAAGAGGCCCCCAAGAGACCCCCAAGAGGCTCCCAAGAGGCACCGCAATAGAGCCCCAAATAAGCAAACATCGTCGATTTCCAATTGGAAAACTGATTTGTTTGCCGTGTTCGCCTTTTGGGCTTCACTGCGCCCGAGACGGCCCAAGAGGCACCCAAGACGGTCGAGGATGCCCCCAAGAGGGCTCCAAGACGGCGTCCAAGACGGCCCATGAGACGCCTAAGCCGCTCAACAACGCCCCAAGTCGGCGCCCAAGACGGGGACGAGGAACAGAAAATGCGAGCAATTTGGCCCAAGGGGCCCCCAGGAGACCCCAAGAGGCCCCAAGAAGCGCCCGAGAAGCCCCAAGAGGTCCCCAAGAAACCCGATGTCCTTTGATTGTTCTAATGTTGTTCGCCTTCTCACGGCTTCCCGCTTCCAACCCTCGAAGATCGAGGATTTTGAAAATTACCTGCGACGTACCCAACCCTTTCTACACAAGTGGCAATTGCATTCAGGACCAATCAATACCGAAGGACATCTCGGCGCCATGGTATAGTGGTGATCTGCGTAGGACGTACCTCCGCTGAGCGTCCCAGAAGCCCATGCGCGCCAGGTGAGCCAAGCGCGCCAGGCGAGCCAGGTGCGCCAGGTGCGCCAGGTGCGCCAGGTGCGCCAGGTGCGCCAGGTGCGCCAGGTGCGCCACGTGCGCCGGGTGCGCCAGGCGCGCCAGGCGCGCCAGGTGCGCCAGATGCGCCAGGCGCGCCAGGTGCGCCAAGTGTGCGCCAGGTGTGCGCCAGGTGTGCGCCCGGTGTGCCAGGTGCGCCAGGTGCGCCCAGCGCGCCAGGTGTGCCAGGTGCGCCAGCTGCGCCAGGTACGCCAGGTACGCCAGGCGCGCCAGGCGCGCCAGGTGCGCCAGGTGCGCCAGTGGCGCCAGGCGCGCCAGGTGCGCCAGGTGCGCCAGGTGCGCCAGGCGCGCCAGGCGCGCCAGGTGCGCCAGGTGCGCCATGTGCGCCAAGTGAGCCAGGTGCGCCAGGTGTGCACCAGGTGTGCGCCAGGTGCGCCTAGCGCGCCAGGTGCGCCAGGTGCGCCAGGTGCGCCAGGTGTGCCAGGTGTGCGCCAGTCGCGCGCCAGGCGCGCCAGGTGCGCCAGGTGCGCCAGTTGCGCCAGGCGCGCCAGTTGCGCCATGCGCGCCAGGCGCGCCAGGTGCGCCAGGTGCGCCAGGTGTGCCAGGTGCCTCAGGTGCGCCCAGCGCGCCAGGTGCACCAGGTGCGCGCCATGTGCTCCCAGCGCGCCACGTGCGCCAGGTGCGCCCACCGCGTCAGGTGCGCGCCAGGTGCGCGCCAGGTGCGCGCCAGGCGCGGGCCAGGTGCGCCAGGTGCGCCAGGTGTGCGCCACGTGTGCGCCAGGTGCGCGCCAGGTGCGCCAATTGCGCCAGGTGTGCCAGGTGCGCCATTTGCGCCAGGCGCGCCAAGTGAGCCAGGTGCGCCATGTGCGCCAGGTGCGACAGGTGCGCCAGGTGCACAAGGTGCGCCAGGTGCGACAGGCGCGCCAGGTGCGCCAGGTCTGCGCTAGGTGTGGCAGGTGCGCCCAGCGCGCCAGGTGTGCCAAGTGCGCCAGGTGCACCAGGTGTGCCAGGTGTGCGCCAGGTGCGCGCCAGGTGCGCCAGGTGCGCCTAGCGCGCCAGGTGCGCCAGGTGCGCCAGGTGCGCCAGGTGCGTCAGGTGCGCCCAGCGCGCCAGGTGCGCGCCAGGTGCGCCCAGCGCGTCAGGTGCGCCAGGTGCGCGCCAGGTGCGCCAGGTGCGCGCCAGGTGCGTCAAGGGGACAGGGAGGCTTCAAAGTGGTCTGCGTAAGACGTGCCTCCGCTGGGCCTCCCAGGAACCCACGAAAGTGGCGACAGTTGCGCAGATCGCAGCCCCCCCCAGGGGACAGGGAGGCCTCAAAGTGGTTTGCGTAAGACGTACCTCCGCTGGGCCTCCCAGGAGCCCACGAAAGTGGCGACAGTTGCGCAGATCGCAGCCCCCCCAGGGGACAGGGAGGCTTCAAAGTGTTCTGTGTAAGACGTACCTCCGGTGGGCCTCCCAGGAACCCACGAAAGTGGCGACAGTTGCGCAGATCGCGGCCCCCCCCAGGGGACAGGGAGGCCTCAAAGTGGTCATCGTAAGACGTACCTCCGCTGGGCCTCCCAGGAACCCACGAAGTGGCGACAGTTGCGCAGATCGCAGCCCCCCCAGGGGACAGCGAACACAGGAGAAAAGAAGGAGGAGAGGGCGGGAGCTGGATACCACAGTGCTCTAGTCAAAACGAGTACCCAACACAAGGAAGGTTGGGAAAAAGGGAATTCCCAGAATCACCGTTTTTTTCAAAGTGGGACTCCTACTGGGGGGTCCTACACATCCCCTGGCATCTGGCTGGTACCGCGCCCACCATCTTCCCGTGGGGGAGACCCCACGTCGCCGAAGGACAGCCCATGACGACCCCAAGGAGCCCCCAGAACGTAAAGAACAGCCCAACACGCTCCCGCGCAGCCCGCGACACCCTTCCGACGGCTCTCCAGGCCTCGAGGAGGCCTCCAGAAACCCCAGGGGGTCCGCAAGATCAAGTCAGACCCCCTTCGCCTCCCAAAAAACAACGCAGGAAACCTTTGAGGGCCCCAAATCGTTGAAAACCTTGAAATTAATGATTTCTGCGTTTCCGCGTTTCCCCTTCTATATACATTTCCGAGGCTTGCGCAGGGCCTCACAGGGAGTCCCTATACGCAAGCAGCGACCAAAATGAGATGACATGAGTTAACCTATCAAGCCTAGCTAGAACCTTCCGGAGGCTCTCCAGGCCTCCAGGAGGCCTCCAGAAGCTCCAGGGGGTCCAGCAGATCCCACACCCCTGAGGGGCCAGGCTAACAAAACCCACGAGGAACAAACAAATTAGCCTGCCGAAGAACCCAACCATATGCAGTTGTGAGTACCGCAGCTGCGGGTTTCATCTTCAATGGAACTCCCCATAGGATTACGGAATGTGTGAGGGAAGTGCCGGGATGGGTGCCACTGGGGCATTCGGCGAAGCTCCCTATGGGGACATGAAACACGCGCGGGGCGTGCCGACATGGGTGGCGGAAACGCATGTGCGGGCCGCCACTGGGGCCTCCAGTGGAGCTCCCTATGGGTCCCCGAAACATGATGCTGCTGCGGGGGGGGGGGGCCGGGATGGGTGGCGGAGACGCATGTAAGCGCCGCTACTGGGGCCTTCGGTGGAGCTCCCTATGGGGCCACGAAGCGCGTGAGGGGTGTACTGGGATGTGTGGCGGGGACGCATGTGAGCGCCGCCACTGGGGCCTTCGGTGCAGCTCTCTATGGGGCCACGAAACGTGT